GGCGCGTTATAGCGATCAATAGGAAATTTTAATAAGCTTTCAATCAGTCACCTCCACTTTGCCCGAATTTTGGGCAAACAACGTGGATTCTTATGTGCTCACGAATAAAACCTATCACTTTCTTTCCCGATTTTCAAGAATGCATAAATTTTGAACCGTTATGTTTTGGCAAATTTTACTCTCTGTACTTTGGCCTTTTGGGATGTAGAATGCTTCTGCTGTCGATAACACTTGTAGACCTCATCACGGAAATTCAACTTTCCCTTCCCTTACGCAGGTGTTGTGGCAGTGTGGCCTCGAATAACGTTTTGAAACAATAAGTTTATGTACGGTAAAATCGTGAAAGAGTGTGATCGGTTTTTCCATGAGCACTTAAAAAAACACGTGCAAAAATCGCGAATAACTGGAAAACAGTTGAGAAATCGAGCAAAGTGGAGGTGACTAATTGAAAGCTTATTAAAATTTCCTATTGCTTGCTAATTTGCTACAGGGCTCCAGGACGATTTCCTGGCTCCACAGCTCAATTCGACGTTTTCTTAAAAAGTGCAAAATTTAACATGTTCCAGAATTTTTGTATTTACTGATGAATGACTAACGCTAGGAAATCATTTTTAAAAAGGCATCTTGTTCAGTGTAAAACTATCTAAAAAATATGACCCAAAAGGCTGAGAAAATATGCATATTTGGCCATTTTTTCGTGAAGAAACCAGGTTGTCTTTTTTTATGTGCAGTGTATTAGTTGGGTGTTGCAAAGGGTCAAACCACTTTATAATAAATTCTTCATACTATTATTAACTAAAAAGCTGTTCGCTTTTTCAGGATTCGAACCCAGAACCACTAGCAAGTCGAATACGAGTCGTACGTATTAACCACTGGGCCACCCCGGTCCCCATTATAAACTTTCTATATTTCTAACATATATTACAGCTGAATTGTTTTTTAATGATGTCTGTGAAACCTAATAATACTAATAAATAATTAATGTACTAATTAATTATGTTTTAACTGATCATTTTTCTCTGTACTTAATTTTTCTATTGTCTAAGTTTCTTTTATGTTTGATTTATTTCCCATATGCCGACAAAAAAGTTTGATAATTAAAAAAATAATAGATGGTTACAAAACAAAGAATAAACTACGATCCGCAATTATTTCGACAAAGTAAAAGATTTTTGGAATAAAACTTAAATAGGTTTTATTGCCTTAACGTTTACTTTATATTGTTCATAAAAAAAATGCCTTTGGTTCTTTTGCCTACGTCATGTTTACAAAATCCTAGGCAACCTTTCGTCGATGCTCGCGTGTTTAACATTGAACCGATTTTTATCTTTTATTTCAGTACAAATTATGCCATTATGTTCCGCCCTAAAACGGCCGTGCCACATTCTGATAAACAGCGGTCATTAAAACCGGACGGATCGGGGAAGTATTCCAGAATGTTTACAACCGCCGTAGAACCTAGGCTGCAGCATAAAATTACAAAAAGGCCGTGCCTCTCGTTTTTCAAGTGTAGTTTTATCCGTGGAAATTGTTGTCCATTGTTTAAAATTACAATAATTAGAGACAATTCGCATGGGAATGTTCCGTTCATTCATATTTCTTCGAGTAGTCCAGAAAGCCGAGAGACGGTTGTCTTTTTCACATAATAATGAACGTGACTTTTCCTTTCATTATTTCTCCATATTATCACGAATTTCCATCCATCTCAAGAAGAGAAGTAAAATCGTTTTTATGTTCTCTACTGCAGCACGACAGATGTATTCACTACATGCAAAACTGATTCGTGACATAAGAAAAATAGAAGATCGTCGATTGTTTACAAAGCACCGAGAAAAATGGCATGTTGACAAACTGCAATATTCAAAAGAAACTACTGTTTTTGTAATCGATTAGAAAAGCCCAATTATTACTAGTTATAAATGTCCAGAGATTTAGAATAATTGACTAAAGGATGAACTGGTGTTGCTCATTGTTCTAAGTCATAAAATTTTAGATCATTCAAGATTTTTAAAAAGATTTATGAACTTTTTACCGTGATTAATGGCTAAAACATCAGGGGAGAATAAAATCAATAGACTTATAATTTAGCCTTGGTCAATTTTACAACGATTGCATCTCACAAATATTCTTGATCTTCGCCTTTATTTTATCCAGATCAAATCGAAGAGAAATAAAGAGATTTCTCTCTGGGATTAGTTTCCAATTGTGCACGTACAAACAGATGTGATTGGTGTCGGGCCGCTGTCTAAAACCCACAAATTCGAAACGGTTGAGCTTTCAGAGAAATCAAAGTGCAGAACACGTCTAGACAATGATGTTTTGTAAGTATTAAAACGTAGACGATAAAATTGTAATACAAAAAGAAATCGCGTGCTTTGAAGTTTGAAAAATTAGCCAAACCGACAAATCGCAGATAAGCCACCGGTGTTTTGATTATACCGTTACGGAGCACGTTTCAACATAACAAAAAGACTAATTTACATGTAAATCTCCTTCGGTTTTAATTTCTCAATGAAATTCTCTCAAAAAAGCGAATTTTATTTTTAATGGCATGGCCGTGTAATAATTACATAACCTGATTTTTAAAGGACGTTCCACCCGAGCAGAAAAACCTGTTGAAGATGAGCGAGTATTTGCCAAGCTTCCGTTTCCCGTCTCATTATTTTCAGCTGGAAAAATTAAATGTACAGATGGTTCAGCAATAAAGTTTTAAACATAACTCAACAAAAAGGTTTACTGTCTGAGTTTACTCGGCATGTGTTGACTTTTAATTTAAAATTTAATAACACCTACCATTCTACCATCTGCGTGTGATTCATCTACTTTAATGTGTACAGCATATATGTCACTTTGCGCGCTTCTTATCCCAAGCACGACAACTAATTGCTACTTCTATCCGTCAAAATAACGTGATTTTCCTAAACAAATTAAAAATTTATTACTTTTGAAATTTGAATTTCGAACCGGTAATGTTTTTAGTTGATGTTCGATAGACACAGAGAAAAAGTTTCATTCAGATGTATGTCAAATAATCGAGGGATATTCTTTTGAAATGAATGAATACTGCTGAATACATTCTGCTTATATTTTCCAGATAGGGTTGCGTTAAAAAAAAGAAAAGCTGAGTGACTATTACGTAATCTCAAGCGCAGGGCTTCATTTATTTTCCGGCCATGGGCGCTGGAAGTTAGCAGTCCTAATCCAGCGCGGAATTTCAATTGCCCAATTAAAGCTATTGTGTCTATTTAGCTGTTTGCCACGTTGCTTCACCATTAAGCAGAACTTTCTTCTAAAGTGCTTTCATTGAAACATCCAACTTATTTTTATATATATTTTTTAGAAGATTGCACATTTCCAATTTTGTAACCTCTTAAATTTTACCTTTGAATATTAAACAAAATTGATTTTATAACGAACTGAACCCCCGAGTTAACAGGGGGTTTTTACTTGTATAATGTTTGTACTATTTATTTTAACAGGGCTTAAAACATTTTAACTTTATTTAACGATACGAAACGCTATCGAGTGGATCGAAGTCACGATAGGTCAAGTGGTAGAGCAGCGGCGTATTTAGCCGAAGATTGTGGGTTCGAATTCCGCTCGTGACACTGAATTTTTTTACCTCAACCAAAACCTTAATCAAAAGATTAATTAATTGAAAATTGTCAATCGGACCACGAAACCTAATAGATGTAATAAACAAAATGAAGTGTACTTCACTAAAGCTCTCCGTGGCCATTTCATTTGTCGCCTAGAATCAAATAGATTACGCGACATTTGAAAAATGGCAAAAAGGGGGGAAAACTCAAAATGTGTGGGGTTGAGATGGGAAGTTAGTGTCCGAGTGGATCGAAGTCACGATAGCTCAAGTGGTAGAGCAGCGGCGTATTTAGCCGGAGGTCGTGGGTTCGAATCCCGCTCGTGACACTAACTTTTTTATCTCAACCAAAACCTTAATTAAAAGATTAATTAATTGAAAAGAATTTATTTGGTTAATCGGATCACGAAACCTAATAGATACGAAAAGCTTTTCCACACCGGTTGTGAACATTAATTTCTATTCAATGTCAGAGCTTATAAACATCAGAAATTCGATATAGATATTGTATTTAATGTATTATTATTGTCTAAAAGCTTTATTGAGTATTTATTTGTTATTTATGTGAATGTATGTACCCCATATTCTATCGCTCTCAACGGAAGAGATCAAATAAAAAATCTCTCCCAAGTACTCTATGCTATTGTTTGTGCGGCATAAATTAATAACTCCTTTTTTATTAAATTTACCTATCTTGAATTTATCTTTAGTTAAATTCCAAAAAAAAACTATCAACCCATAAAGAAAAACTATTGAAGTATTCCTCAACGTTATCGGGCATGTTTTACAATATAAGACGCAGTACAAAGATTGTAACGTGTAAGAAGTGGCACAAATTGAATTATCGATTAGGTTTTCATTATTAGGAAAATAGAGCAATTTCACCTCTGCGCGCGCGCAGGCGTGATGATGACGGGCAGCATTGTTTAAACAGGCAGAATAGACAATTTTCAAACTAGGCAAGAAAAAAATGTTAACTTGGTTAAGACCTCTGCTCGAAAAAGGACTATTTCTTGAAATATGTTCATTTTTTTAGAAAGAAGTTTTAGAAGAAAAAATTACTTATGATGAATTAAAATATGCTTGGATTTTAATTTCCAAATGTTAAAAGACCTTAGCTTGGAGAATAAATATGTTAAAGGAATTAAAAACCAGAGGCCACAAGTTGGCGAACATGATGTCCATTTTTTGGGACTACCCCCTAAAGAATTATGCCATAATTTTTTGGCGTGTATTAAAACAGTCAACCGGGCTGTTTATGCTTCCAACCGCGATGAGAGTTGGAGGCATTGGTGGACAATTTTTAATTCAAAGCCCTGCTAATCCATCGAATTCCCTTCGTCCCGGCCGGCGTCACAAGTAATCACTTATCACAGTTATCACTTCACTTAATTTATGTTACCTGGATGTACTTCATTTCTTCCTTTCGTGCACAACTCTGACCCCCCAAATCGGGCGTCCCTTTCTTTTATACGACACACCTTTCTATGCCCCACCAGAGTCTCCCTCCCTCACAATCAAAAAAGGACGACGATGCCTCTTCCACCTTTCATTTTTTTATTAATAACCCTTTGTTGAGAAAATTACAAAGTTTTATTTCTAATATTTTACCCTGTTGTGCAACCGAGCCTTTTATTTATGTGACTCTTTTAAGACCTCAAAAGTTTGTATTTATTGTCTGTTAATTTTTAATCGGAACTTATCGTAGACGAATATTTGGCCAGTTTGGTCATAATGGGCTCTTTCCGGCCCACTCTATTTTCATCATATTGTTTATGTCGTAATTGCATAATTTCGAACATAAATTCACCGTTTTGTCCTTACAAAACACTAACAGCATACTCGAAATATTTCAAACATGTTTGTTGATTAAGAAGGCCAAAAAAATTATTTATTTTTTTCCAAGTCATAGAGGAAATGATCAGGCAACAATAGAAAGAGTTAACATAAACTTTATTAGAAGTTATATCGATATAAAAACTAATAATATTCAATATGTAGAAAAACACCTTTTACAACGAAATGGCACATCAAATATATAAATGTGTGGTGTTTAATGACCGTTAACCAAAAATCATTTGGATATCGTGAGATGCAGTCTGGTGTGACGTAGGTATTAGAAAAACATTTTCTTTATCATGCCAACGTTTCGATCTTTATTGAGATCATCTTCAGGGCTCAAAGTGTTTGTTTTCCATGTAGATGTGCCATTCTTTTTCTTGTGCCGTGTTGAGAGGTCCTCTGAGCGCTGAAGATGATCTCAATAAAGATCGAAACGTTGGGATGATAAAGAAAGTGTTTTTCTAAAACCTACGTCGCACCAAACCGCACCTCACGATCTTCAAATAACAAAATATATATTTGATTGAATAAATTTTGATATTTAAGACTGACAAACGTAATAAGAATTTTTTTGTTATGTGACATTGATTAGGATAGTAAACGACAATATTGAATACGCGAAAAGTGAATAATTGAAAGACTTTTTGATTGATTGACAAAACGTAATAAGAATTTTTTTCTATATATTTCATATTGTACTATATCCTCGGCCTCCTAAATTTCGCTCTAAACTTCTACCAAGTTGTCATCACTGTGACTTGTTACCACATTTATTAATCCTATTTATTTTTTACTTTATATTAATCTAAAACATGATTTCTCAATAAAAAATAAATCATGTAGCGAGCATATGGCACAAAAGATGTCAAAACGTCGCTAAAATTTGAAGCCTTATATTTTTCCAAAGAAAGACCTACACAAGTTTTTAAAATAATTCAAGATTCGGTATATATCGAATTAAATTTAAAACAAGAAATGCAATAGCGAGATTAAGCGGACCCTGATATAATCAACAATTGTGGAAAATCATATATACCTCTCACAAAATCCCAATTACCAACGACAAATTTAAAAAAGGCAATAATAAAAAGCTTTAATGTTTTAAGTTTAAGTTTAAGAAGAGAGTAAAAGTAAAATTATATTTAATAAAATTATAGATTAAAGGTGAAAACTTTCTTTATCCTAAACCGGATTTGAGTTCTCTTTGGTTTCGGCTCGTTAAACTTGCAAAGAGGGTGTCAGAAAGAGTCCAATCAATCAATGTATATTCAATATAACACCCACTTTACTTTGATTGCTATCAGCTGAAGTTAAATAGTTTTCTGCGGTCTTAACTCGTAAAGGAGGTGAAACAAAACCAATCTTGGGGTAAAACTAGTTCCAAATAACTGCACACAGACTCACTCACAACTCTTAAGTTCTTATGAGTTCCTACGGATTAGTTTAGTTAAATCTGAAGCTCGAATGCAAATCAATGGTGTAATTCTCCTCATCGTTATTTTGTAATCGACCTTTTTGTACATCATTGCTCAACACCATTGCTGATTCGCAGACAATGATCACATTCTACGTTGTCAGGAGTCTGATCTTAGTATCTCGTATATTGCCATCTTTATTTACTCAGACGCTTGTCGATTCTTACACCGTGATGTCAACTATTGGTTGACTACACTGGTCAATTTCCAATTATAAAAGCGTGTTCATTGCCTTTTGGTATACACAAGAATTGGTTAGTTCAATCTAACCAAAGGTAAACGTCAAAACTTGAAACGTGATGAATCAATGCGGTATCTCGCTTCTTTTTCAACACTCCCTCACTGTTTTTCACGCTTTGTTGCACATTTCGTTTAAGCCGTGGACTCGTTTAAACACAACCATCCTGATACGATTATGCCGGCCGGACACAAGCTCAAATTTGAGAAACTGGTGATCGTATCGACCCCGTTCCGACCGACATGATCTATGACCGGCCAGGCAAAGTGAAACGGAATTGTTCAAGACGTCTGCACGACCTGAACAAATCCGTTTGAAAATATGCCTGTGGCTCCTCCAAACTCAAATGGCAAACACCTCGCAAATGGATTACTCCATAAGACGAAACGTGGGAATAATAATGGAAAATGAGACATTGACGAGGACGATTATATTAAAAGTTCTCAAACTTCTGAATGAATGAAAGACTAAAAATTTTCGTTCCGACCTCAACTTCTAATTATAATTAATGTTATTTTTAGGCCAAATAAAAATAATGGCAAAGAAAGAAAAACTTGAAAATGGAAGAATGTTGTTCCAAAGGAGGTGAGCTGCTCTCTATGCATAGCATCAACGACTTTTCATCGTTGTAAAAATGCCTAACTAATGCTTAATTTTTCTTTTGGTAAAATCAATCACCGTTTCTAAATTCCCTATTGCCAACATCTCGCATCTTTTGATTGATAAAATTTGGCTCCACAGTACGAGGCGATGTTACATTTTTATGGAACTTTCTGGAATGTATTATCATTCTTAATTGACTTTTCCACAAGTGGTTAAATGACTCTACAACTTATGCACACACTTACAAACATATATTGTGGCTTAGCCTAAGTTAGAAGGGTCTCAGGGTACTGAATCCACTGAGGCCACAGAGGACCTGCCAGCATGCACTCAAATAATTATCTTCCCTCGAAAACTTTTCTACTACACGAACACTTTAAATTGATTAATACGTAATATTTTAGAAAAAAATCCTTCCAACCGTAGATAATAAATAGCGCCCTAAGACGGAGATTCTGTTTAAATTCACTAGTTTCGTGGTCCGCTTGACCAATTAATATCTTTCAATTAATTAAGGTTTTTAGTTGAGATAAAAAAGTCAATGGCACGAGCGGGATTCGAACCCACGATCTTCTGCTAGATACGCCGCTGCTCTACCACTTGAGCTATCGTGATTCGATCCACTCGGACACTAACTTCCCATCTCAACCACACCTTTTGAATTTCTCTCCTTTTTACCATTTTTCAAATGTCGTGTAATCGGATTGGATTCTCGACGACAAATGAAATGGCCACGGAGAGCTTTAGTGAAGTGTACTTCATTTTAATCATTAAATTCACTAATTTCGTGGTCCGCTTGACCAATTAATATCTTACAATTAATTAAGGTTTGTAGTTGAGATGAAAAAGTCAATGGCACGAGCGGGGAGTTAGTGTCCGAGTGGATCGAAGTCACGATAGCTCAAGTGGTAGAGCAGCGGCGTATCTAGCCGAAGATCGTGGGTTCGAATCCCGCTCGTGCCACTGACTTTTTTATCTCAACTAAAAACCTTAAATGATTCTGTTTAAAGTTTCATACTTTCCGTTTGGTACTTTCACAATGCTTTAGTTTCGATATATCGATAAAATAGATCAGTTTTACTAGCAAAATAACTCTTTGTTGTACTAATAACAAAATCCTTCTCGTTTCACATAACCGAAATTCAATGTCAAATTCAGCCTCGCCCTGCTTATAAACCGCGACTTCAGGCTATCGCCATTTCTGACAAAGGATCGTAATTTTGAAGAACTAGGCTTCGTAGCAATCGAGAACTATTTTTTTCTTATCATAGTTAATTAATGTATTATGTAGTAACGTTTTTGTTTAACTTTAATTTTTTGTAATATATGTTATTTTAGTAAATTCCAGTTTACAACACATTCTTATCGTTCTCTTGTTAATCTTTGTTTAAATATTTATTTAGAAATTGTGAGATGCGGTCTGGTGTGATGTAGGTTTCAGAAAAGCATTTTCTTTATCGTGCCAACGTTTCGATCTTTATTGAGATCATCTTCAGGGCGTGGAATTTACAAACATTGTTTACATATAACAATTACATTTTAGCTGAAGCCTGAAGATGATCTCAATAAAGATCGAAACATTGGCACGATAAAGAAAATGTTTTTCTGAAACCTACATCACCCCAGACCGCATCTCACGATTTCTAAATGAATATCGATTTACGGTCACTAATCACCACACATTTGTTTATAGTTAAGGAGATAAGTAAATAGCAAAGAAACAACTTTTGCATACAAGTTTTGATTGCTGTCAATTATTATTTTGTCAATAAATCATTAATTTATTAATAGAACATCAATAACGTCAATGTCAATAAAATGTGACGTAGTTTTTTCAGTTAAAATTAAGGCAATGAACTATCGTAATTAACTATGTATAAATATATAAGATGTAGTTTGGTTGTTTCCGATCTTTTAGTCTTTCAGACGTGTTTTGGCTTTCCATCGTCTTCACAAGTCAGGCAAGAAACACATAGAGGTTGACCAAAATGGTCAGAAACGACCAAACTACAGATTTGTCAAATAATATTAAATGACTGAACAGTTGTCAATCGATTAATGTTATCGAAACAATTAGCTGGCCGGATTGTTTAAGATTCAACTAAGGAAAAATTAATTATAACATATTACAAAAGTAATTTGTCCTTGTTCAACACTTTTTTTTGTTAGTTCTCATTCTAGTCTAGTGTTACTAATTAAAAATTGCAGAACTCAATTTTATATTATTAATTGCTTTTTATTAACAAATTTATACAATAGCTAAATGTAAACAATTTCTATATAC